CCAGGAAAATCCCCAGAAAGACCCCCGTGGAGAAGCCCGTGGAGACCCCCAAGAGACCCCCAGAGACCCCCGAGAGAGCTCCGGGGAGACCCCCGGGGTCCCAAATACCCCGGGAGATAGGGGGTCGTTATAGGGCGAGGGGGGACATGGGGTCACCACACACGGGATGGGGGACCCGAGATCCCACCCGGGATGGGGGGCACGGGATCCCACCCGGGATGGGGGGCACGGGATCCCACAGGGGATGGGGGGCACGGGATCCCACACGGGATGGGGGGCACGGGATCCCACATGGGATGGGGGGCACGGGATCCCACACGGGATGGGGGGCACCCACTACCCACGCAGGACTGGAGTCCCCCGTTATCCTGCCCCGGGCTGGGACCCCCCCCATTATCCCTGTACTGAACTCGAGTCCCCAGTTATCCTTACCCTGGGTTGGGGTCCCCCACTGTCCCTCCCCCAGTCTGGGATCCCAGTTACCCTGGACTGGGACGGGGTTATCCCCACACTGGTCTGGGGTCTCCCGTTACCCCTGGACTGGGTGGGGGTCTCAGTTATCCCTGTCCGGATCAGGACCCCCAGGGGGGGTGTGTGCACCCCACCAGGGGGGTCTGTACCCCACCAGGGGGGTCTGTACCCCACCCAGGGGGTTTGTGGCCCACCCAGGAGTGTTTGTATCTCACCAGTGGGGTGTCCCCCATCCGGGGTGTGTGTGTACCCCACAAGGGGTGTCTGTACCCCACCCAGGGGGGTGTGTACCCCATTAGGGGTGTGTACCCCATTAGGGAGGGCTGTTACCCACCCAGGGGGATTTTTACCCCAATGAGGGGATGTGTTTCCCACTTAGGGGGGCTGTGTACCCCATTAGGGGTGTAAACCCCATTGGGGATCTGTACCCAACCCAGGGGTCTGTAGCCCACCCAGGGGGGATGTGTAGCCCACCCTGGGGTCTGTACCCCATTAGGGGGGTCTGTACCCCATTAGGGGGTCTGTACCCCATTAGCGGAGTCTGTGCCCCATTAGGGGGGTCTGCACCCCATTAGGGGGTCTGTACCCCATTAGCGGAGTCTGTGCCCCATTAGGGGGGTCTGTACCCCATTAGGGGGTCTGTATCCCATTAGGGGGTCTGTACCCCATTAGCGGAGTCTGTGCCCCATTAGGGGGGTCTGTACTCCATTAGGGGGTCTGTACCCCATTACCGGGGTCTGTGCCCCATTACCGGGGTCTGTACCCCATTAGGGGGGTCTGTGCCCCATTAGGGGGGTCTGCACCCCCCCAGGGGGGGTGTCCCCCACCCCCACGCCAAGGCAGACACCAGGACCCCCAACCCAGAGCTGGTACCCAGGACTTTATGCACCCCCACACAGACACGGCCCCCCCGGGGGTGACACACAGACCCCCCCATCCCCCGCGACACCGAGCGGGACCCCCGGATTCCCCGTCCCCCCCCCCCGCCCCTCCTGTAACATCCGCCCCCCCCCTCCCCCGCGGCTCCAGCCCAGCGACGCCCCCTCCCCAGGCTGGCGGCCGGCGCGAGGGCCCGGGGCCGGGGGGGGTCCCGGGGGGCCCGGGGGGGTCCGGGGGGGTCCCGGGGGGTCCGGGGGGGTCACTGCTTGTCGATGGCGCCCTGCTCGGCCGCGCTGTCCCGCTCCGGGGGCGGCCGCAGCCACGGCGTCTCCCGCAGCACGAACCAGCAATTCCCGGCCCAGAGCAGGAAATTCAGGAAGCCGAAGAGCTGCGGGAACGGGGAGAGGGGAGAGGGGATGGGGTCGCGCGGGGCACCCACGGGTGAGCGCAGCACCCGGCACCCCACACACACCCCCTGAGCTTCGAGCACCGGCTGTGTCCTGTGTGCCCCGGGCACCCCAGAGACCCCCCACACCCCACACACCCCAGAGACCCCACACACCCCACACACCCCAGAGACCCCAGAAACCCCACACACCCCAGAGACCCCACACATCCCCAAATCCCACACACCCCATACACCCCAGAGACCCCAAACACCCCACACACCCCAGAAACCCCACACACCC